CACACAACCCCCCGCCGCTAGTTGTGTCCCACCAAAAGGGGAGAATATAAAAAAAAAAAAAAAAAAAAAAAAAAAGAAGCAGCCACAAGCAACAAAAGCTGCACCAATTTAGGGATTGAAGAATTGGAATAGTTAAGATGTTGGCGCTCAGACTAATACCCCGAGATGCAGAACACGTGGGGCTCGTCTTCCTAAGATAGAATTCGGCTAAAGATAAAGATAAACTTGTAATGAGAAAATTACTTTTTCATATCAGATGCTACACAAATATCCACCACAGGAGAGAATTTAGTGATTAACACGATTAGGAACCTCAGATTACAGCACCCGATTTCTGTTATCAGTGGTTTGTAGGATTAAAAAGAAAATAGACAATAAAAGAAACCAAACTTCTTCTGATTTTACATAAAAATCCTGCATTTTATAAATAAAAATGGATGATTTTTAGTCGTCTGGTGTGCAGAAGGTGGTGGGAATGTGGCAGAGCCTGACCCAAGCACCTCGTCATCTACTTATAATGGTGACTTAGGTCTTCAATATTAATAACCTGCTGTCAAGGACACTGGAAGGACATCTCAATTTGACACTTATAGGCTCAGCATGAATATGTATAGGTGCCGCGGCGCGTTCAAAATTACCAAGTAAAATCGTGGTTCACACGTGGGGACTAATGTGATGTGGCACATGCATTCTGATGAGCCACAAATACGGCGGCTGATAGGTCTCACAAGACTTGTTACAAATCTATGTCCAACCAGAGAATAGACTGCAGTGTGTGTGTGTGTGTCAGAGAGAGAGAGAGAGCGAGAGATTGTGTGTGTGAAGCTGAAGACGCTGCACATAAAGCCTCTTGAGATTCCAATAAATATCCATTACTATCTATTTAGTCTTTATTAGGTCATTAATAACTGAGTCTGTGTGTCGGTGCGTTAGCCAATCATCGAACAGTTCAGGACAACAACAGTAGTTTGTGAGAATTCTCATCCAAATGAAGTGAAGTGGAAATTGCCTTGAAGTTGGTGTTCAGACTTCCCTGCAGGGGGTGCTGACTGCACAGTTTGAATGCCCTGGTCATTAAGAGTGAACTGGTACAACATTGTTTTTCATCCTGGTATTAAATGAAAACACATTAAGAAGGTATTTATGAAGCATTTCCAGGCTTTTGTTTATAAACTGAATGTGAGAATTTTAATTTGATAGAAACAGTCGTTAATCAATCCTGGGGATCAGGTGACGCCTGAGCGAGATAATATAAGATTAATTATGTTAAGATTAAATATAGTTAAATATTTACATTAGTTAATTCAAAGTTACTGATCAAAGCATGTTTTTTTTTTTTTTTCAGACCACACGATACATAATGATCTCGTCCTAGTTGCTGTGATGACAGGAGTTGTTGCTGTTGATCCTTTGCAGCCGATGCTAATTGGCTTTAATAATGCGAAGCGTTTGTAGAATCCAGGAAAGGAGAGATCTGCCTGAGCACAGCTGCTCCTTGGACCTCCTTTTGGCAATTTGGAAAATAGGCAAAAGGCTCAGGTCGCTGACCTAAACTGGTTAGAGATCACCGGAACGTTTGTGTCCATGTGATAGTAATGTTGGTCTCCATCACTGGGTCTCACTTAACTTTATTAACTCCTTGACCACTGCTGCTCCTGAGACCAGACCTGTATGTTGGACGACAGAGTTGAAGGAAAATCACAATTTTTACTCCAGCTTATTTAAAAAAAAAAAAAGAAAGAAAGAAACCTCAGGCTATTTTCTTTGGCTGCTAGCATTAGCATTAGCAGCAGGACCAGTTTGTATTATTCATAAGAAGTGTGGTTTTACCACTAGATGTGATGTGACCCAATGATAACAGGATTTAATTTTTTTTTTTTTTTTTAGAAATTGTCTTAATCTTTAATGACACTACATTGATGTTTACCTTGTAGTACGATTGCGTTGACATGTTAACATGAATAGAATAGAATCTGTCTATAGGTTAGAACAGATGTCTTCACCTGATGACCTCTGACCCCTGCTCGGTGCCTCTAACAGGTCCACCCTCAGACTAACTCATTAGGGTTATTAGAAACATCAATTCATCCTCATGTCAGTCTGTAAACAGTGTGTTAAACCAGAGATAGAGCCGTGACCCGTGGCTGTATTTCTAGTAAACGCGTAAAAAGTTGAACTTGGACCCGTGGCTGTATTTCTAGTAAACGCTAGGTGTTAAAAGTTGAACTTAGTTAAATGTAGTTAAACCACAGTCCTCAGTGGTTAGAACCGTCCCGGTCAGAGGAGCCTCCATCAATCAAAGCCGTGGTCTGGTGGAGATAATAATGGACCTGCTGACAAGGTCCTGCCGGTGTCGTGACGGGGTGAAATGTGACGTTCGACGACCAACGCTGGCTCTTGTTTGGTTGGTGGGACTTCAATAAATCAAAGGATAAAATCAATGCAAACATATGATCTTTGAAAAGTAGTTAGTTTCCATTTGTCTGTGTAATGACATTGATCTCATTTGGGGGTAAAATAATAACGTGATCTTTGAAGCTGAGGTCTATTTACCATCTGCTTAAGTGAAGCAAAAAGGTTAGTTCACGCACGCGGCCGCCACGATGCGTTAATTTGGTGAAGGTCAGTGTTTCTCAGATGGTAGGTCGTGACTCAAAAGTCATGGTTGGGTCATTATTGGATTTATCTACAGGACAGCTTAAACTGGAGATCGATCTGTACATACTGTCTGCTCTTCTAGAGTTTTTTGGGTTTTCAGTTTGATAACTATGACTTTCATTCTGGAGTTTTTTGGGTTTTCAGTTTGCTGTTTGTTTGTTAACTATGACTTTCTAAATCTAAAAAGACAAAATTATAGTTTTATTGACTGTGGAAATAAATCTTTTGAGTAAGTGAGTGAGTAAGTATTGGACTCTTGATCCTCCTTTTCTTTACCGTTGATTATCATCTTAACACCATCTGATTTAGATGAAGAGAAATTGAGGGAAGGAGGGAAAAAATTCAGCATTTTTTATAGATCAATAGAAATTGAGGGAAGGAGGAAATTCAGCATTTTTTTAAAAAAATATTTCACTATTAACCCAATAATCCAGAGGATCTACTGATGTAGAATCAAGTCTTAGCCGAGAGATTGTGGGTGAAGTGTGTCAATATTTGAGTCCAGAATTCTGTTGTGAATTTGTCAAATTTCTGACTAATGTTTCATAATAAGTACCTGGTGGTCGGCGCTCAGCTAATCCAGCTAGCACAGCGTCTCTTAGCATTGCCTTATATGTTGAAGACGTGTCTGTCATGAGGTTGTTTTTTTTTCCATTTACATCCAGTCGTCATCTGCGAGTCTTTACGGCTCGTTTTATTATTTGTTCTGCCTTGAAATGTCTGTTGTTTTTTTTTACATTTCTTAAACATAAAAACACACATGCAGGTAGAACCAATGACAGTAGGAGTGGGCGTCATTTATCCTCAGTGACATCTGTTATTATGTTCTGCCACAGACCGCTCACTTTGAAATCACCAGCATCAAAAATGGAGGTAGGCTGTGATCAGTACCTTGTTTTGATCCAGTCCCTCAGATCAGGATCAAAACAAGTGTTAATAGTTACCTATCGGTGAATACATCCCGGCTGGTTTGAGTTCTTCTGCACCAAACTTCACTCCTTGATCCGTTGTCTGACGTAATCATTCTGACATTATGATATTGTAATATCAGACGTTGTAATATTTTTCCAAAACCACCTGACAGGTCTTCAAAACAGACTTGAAGTCCAAAGTTTTGTCACCTCTTTGATGACTGTCTCAGCTTCTCGTAATTGACGCTTGTGTCTCATATTCAAACAGAAATATTTGTATTTCTGACAAATCTCCCCCCCGGTTTTCAGTCGACACTTTCTTTTCTGTTATGAGTTTGATTTTGCACATTATATAGACTCTCCACGCCGCACGCCGCCGCTCCCCACAGTGTTAACAATGCTTGAGGGAGTCTGAGAGCAGGTAAATCACAGAGACGGTGTGTAGTGGCTGAGCTGCGGCTCAGAGGCTCAGGGGCGACTGTGGTGTCCCGCAGCAGACCGACATCAAAGCTCTTTATCCTGCAGAGCCCGAGGCTAGGAAGAGACCAGAGCTGTGAGTGACAGAGGAGGAGTGAAGTGATTAGGGAGGAGAGGCGAGGTGCTGATGATGAAACCGCCGCCGCCTTTTGTCTCTGCTCTGCCTTCACTGTCATTTGATTTCAGGGAAATTGGTTAAAGCACCGGCAAATTAAAAAAAATAGTGGTAGAACTTCAAACTTTGAGGTCAAACAGTTTTTAAAAAGTTGGCGTTCACACACCCAGAGAGACTGATCTGTTTTTACTGCTGTGACGAGAGAACAGCAGAGCTCACTCTGGACTCCTGAGTCTGTAGACATATTTAAATCTTCACAAAGTGAACAGTTTATTTCTGTTTTATGTTTGTAGCTTTTGGTTTCAGCGCTAAATGGTGTTTTTTGCATCTTTTTTTTAATAATTACTTTAAAAAAAACATTTAAAACGCCTTAATCTAAAAGAATAGTTTGATGGAAACAACTTCTTAATGACTTCTGAAAACATAGACCAGAACAATTATTTTTATTTTTTATGGCATGGTATATATGAAAATGGAGGTTGGAAAACAAAAGACTCCAGAAAAGTCTTGAGATTTGTTGAAGCTGTTGAAGTTTTGCCCTAAAACCAGGCAGTTCTGTTGGAGGAGTCAATATTTGATTAAATTACATAAATA